TTCGCTGTGTGCCCCCTGTGACTGATGGGGCGGGGCGCCTTTCCACCGGCTGCCGGCTCCTTGGCGGCACCCCAGTGAGGCACCTGCTACTCTGTGCTCATTTGTCCACCCTGCGCCCCACTGGTGCCATTTCACACTGCTGTCGGGCACCCGGGTTTCCACCAAGGATGAGTGATTGGCCGTGCAGACACTTCTCCTGAAGCAGTGGCGTTGACAGCCATGGTAGCTGCAGGCGAGGTGTCAGCAGGAGCGAGCGACCCTCTGCACACGGCAGCGCTTTGCCGTGGCCGGGGAGGAGCAGCTGCCATGAAGCATTCACACAGTTGTGTGGAACACTGTGGATGCCCCACAGCACATGCTTTGCTGTGACCTTTGACCTACCCCGACCTGAAGCCAGTCAGTGGTAAGCTCTTTTGCCAGAAGGTGGGACAAACGGTAAAACATAAGTAACAAAATTGAACGTTTTAACCATTTTTAAGCGTGCAATTCAGGTGCACTAAGGACATTGACATTGTCGTGCAGTCACCACCATCCGTTTCCAGAAGTTTTCATCCTAAACAGAAACCGTCCCCACGGAAGCAGTTCCCCTTCAGCCCCCTCTCCCCAGCTCCTGGCAAGCTCTACCTTTTGCTCTTCGAATTCTCCTGTTCTAGGAACCTCATGTAAGTGGAGCCGTACGAGATTGGTCCTTTTGTGTCTGGCTTCTTCCACTGAGCATAGTGTCCACAAGGCCCATGCACATTGTAGCGTGTGTCACGACATCCTTTCTTTTTAAGGCTGGGCATATTTCATTGTATGCGTAGACCATGTTTGGTTTACCTGTTCGTCTGTTGGTGGACACTGGGTTTCACCTTTTGGCAGTTGTGAGTGATGCTGCTGCGAACATGGCTGTGCACACATCGGAGTCCACTCATCTGAGCACCTGTTCAGGAGCGGAGGTGCTGGGTTGAGTCTGCAGGATGATCTTCTATTCGAGGTCTGGGCCTCGCCTGAGATCTCACCTTCCCTGCCCCTTTCCCCTGGCTCCTGGGAGCGCCTTGATGAAGCAGTTGAGCTTGAATCCTGGTCTCAGGGTCACTCCAGAGAGCACCCAACCTTGGACACCCAAGGAGCAGTGCAGCCTGCCACGAGGACACATGCGAGTGGGCGCTGCCCCCCGCGGAGTGGTGAATGATAACACCCATTTACCTCCTCCTCTCTCCTAGTGTCTGATGAGTTCGTGCTCCGAAGAAAAAGCAGCAACGGGCCTGGTACTTGGCAGAGTGCAAGAGTCACGTCTGGGGGCCTTGGGAAGGGGCCAGCAGGAGCAAGGGCCCCGAGTCCCCGCCGTTGTCTCTAGTGAGCAGGCTCCCACATCTCGATCACCACACTCCATGGCACCTCACCCTTCCTCAGTGCCTGCCTCTTAGAAGGGACCAACAGCCTCGTTTAAAAGTGTCACCGGAGCCTTGCCATGCTTTTAAACTCACCAGGCCGGCAGCCCTAACTCTCACTACGCCCCGCCCCCAGAGTTCCCTTCCTGCTCCTCTTCCGTGTCCCCTGAAGGACCTTGCTCCCTTTTTCCATTCAAGACAAGCGGGACTTTACTACTAGAAACCACCACTAAGAAGATGTTCTGTATTAGGAGAAACAGCTTAAAGTACAGATCGTATTTGACTTTGAAGCTTCCGGGCAAGTTTGGGGCAGGTGCTCATCCTGCGTCTGGCCAGCCCGTGCTCCTCAGGTGCCCAGGCCCTGTTTCCTGTTGCCCTCTGCCTGCAGCTAGGAATGCCTGTTCTCTGCTTCTCGGGCAGTTTCCTTCATGTGGGGGATGGAGTTGAGCCAGCATCACAGCCACACCTGCTTCTCCGGGTCGCTTAGGGCAGACACCAGGAGGCCTAGTGGACAAGGTTGGAGGTGGAGGCCAAGAGGGTGGGAAGGGACGTGGCCGCGCCAGGTGCTGCTCTGGGCACCTGAGCTCCAGTTAACAGATCAGGAAACGGCCCACAGGCACCAGCCACAGGGCTCTGCGCCGCCTCGGCAGGGGAGGGCGGTCGGCCAAGGCCTTCAATTCCTGCAGTCTATCTTTAGTCCCCAAATCACAAAGTCACACTTGGATAGATTTTGACGACTGGCTCTGAGGTCTCTCTCTGGAACTGTCTAGATGAGTGTATTTCATTGGACACCATTGGACCTTAGAGCTATAAAGAGACGAGACAGCGGTGTGTGCTCTTCCTGGACTAGGCATGTCAGACGTGGTCTCAGGTTCCCATAGATACCTGGGAAAACTGAGAATTTATTTCACTTCGGTGGAAGCTAAAAGTAAAGACAAGCGTGTTCTGGGCAGCACTTCTCACCCCAGCACTGTTTGACTCGAGCAGTTGTGCCCCAGTGCGCTCAGTGAACGTCGAGTGTCACGGGCGACGTGGTGCTGGCGGGTCAGAGACGGTGGAAGCGCGGCCTGGCCCCTGGGTGCAGGCAGCCTGGGCTGCTCCAGGTCCAGGGGCTGGCAGCGCGGCACGCACACAGACGCGTGCGGGAAATGTGGCACGAAACCCTCTCGCAAAAGGGATTTTTAAAAGAAATGTTTAAGAATTGTATTTTGGGGCACACTGTTACATTATTTGGCACATCAAAGTAATGGGCTGATTAAAAATCTGATTATAGTTAAAGGAAAATAATGGTAAGAATAGAGACTTAATTGATGGTCTGTCAAATTCCTTTTTAAAAAGCTCATAAGAGTCAGGTAGGAAACTCACCCAAACGTCTTTCTGTTACTAAACACAGCATTGGCGATTTGTGTGTCTCTTTAGTAATATGCGTTTTCTTAAAGTCGACTCTCCAGCAGCTTTCCTCTGGTTCGTATTTTCACGCTATGTCTTTCTGTTCTTTCACTTTCAGCCTGTTCTTACACAGCGTTCCATTGGGAAACAGCATACAGTTGCTTTGTTTTTAAATCCAGTTAGACGACCTTTGTCTTTTCATTGGAGTTTTGTCCATTTACACTTAATGTGATATAACACGTCGTTGGGTTTAAGCCGACAGTCTCACTGTTCGTTTTCCTTGTGTTAATTCCTTGTTCCTTTAGCCCTTCTTTCTTGCCCTTTTCCCTTTTTTCTCTATTACATCCTGAGACTTTAGGACCACGTTCTCTCTCTTTTTTAAAAAAATTTATTATTATCATTTGTGCCTAGAGCACCTGGTCTTCCTAGGTGGTCTCCCATCCAAGTACTAACGAGGCCCGACCCTGCTCAGCTTCCGAGGTCAGACGTCGGGCTTGTTCGGGTTGGCATAGCCATAGACCATGGACCGTGGCTCCACTGGGGCGCGAACCCAGGACCTTCTGCATGTAAAGCAGACGTGCTCACCGCTGCACTAAAGAACCACGTCCCTCTTTTAAAGAAAAGGTAAAACTCGTGACCTGACATGTTTCCACATTCCCCTGTGGTTGCAGTCGACGTTAGAAGCTGAGCTCTTCACCTAGACTGTTGTAAGGGGGTGATGGCTACGGAGGCCACCGAGTGGGGAGGACAGAGATGGAGGCTTGAGAAGATGGGCGAGGGGGCAGTTAGAGGTAAGGAGAGACCAGAGCAGGACAAGGAAGGGGGTGGACTGCAATGTCCACGGGGGACAAGGATCGAAAGAGGCTCCTGACTCGGGACGAGGGGCCGGCTAGACCAAGGCTGCCCTCCACACAGCTGTAGGACACTGGCTGTGTGTGCCCCGGCCGCAGACCCTGGAGTGGGTCAGGTGGTCCTCGGGCTTCCTGCCACGAGCATGTCCTGGGCCAAGTCCATCCAGCTGGAGGACCACAAGACAGCAGGTGGGTGGGCAGGCTGCTCTTGTCCCTTTTCTTCCTCCCCCCACCCCTTCAGATGCAGGTTGAGAAATTCACAGCTGATGGGAAACAGCCACCTGCTGCAGAGCCATTCAGCTGGGAGTTGGAGGGAGTGGGGTCGGGGACACCCACAAACAGTGCATGCGTGTGTGCGGTGGGTCCTACACGCTTGACAAATATTAATGCTGTCATCATCGCAGCCAAGAGAAATAAGTATCATGATGTTTCTCCCGTTCGACAGATAATGCAGAGAGGTTAAGTAGCTCGTACACAGTTATTAGGTGGCAGAGCTGGGACCTGGACCGGGCCTGACTTGGTCACACTCCACAGACCCAAACACAGCTTCTTCCACAGTGACCATGAGAGCAGTGAGGCTCTGACGCCGCCCAGTTCTCCGTGTACCTTCTCTCTGTTCTACTTGTTCCAAACTCTGTCTCACGTGTCAGTCTCTTCTTTAGTGGGATGGGTTAGTCTCTGCAGTAGAATACTTCAGTGTGACGGCCAAGGTCAACTGACAGGAGCTTGGGCAGAGTTCAACGTAAGGTTGAACTGGACATGGGCACCGATTAAGAGAACTCCTAGATTTGGATCCTGCTCCTTTTTGTTCTTTTTTGCATTAAAATCAGGAAATTTGGTGTGGATTCTGACTTGATCTTGAACATCAAACTGGATTTTGTGTGACCCTCAAAGACCCTGGTGCTCGCTTCTCCCTCCACCGGCCAGTGAGGCCCACTGTGTGGGGCATGCTTGGTGGCAGAAGCCACTGCAATGGCAGCAGTTTCCACAGGTGGCTGCCTTGGGTCTGCACGCACATGCCCCCAGCACCACTCCCTGTGGGAGGCTGAGGTTCAGAAGACACGTCATCATGAGCTGTTCTGTCCATTTTCCTGGGCCCGTCTAGAGCCCTCACGTGTCTTCTGAGAATGCCACAGTGAGGTGATTCATGGCATCAGAATGTTTCACCAAAGGAAACCTGACAGCCGGAAAAACAAACTGGGCTTGGAGTCTGGTGTTTTTTGCTTTCCTATCTTACGAACTGTGCAGTTGACTCGAGGCTATTTTGCGTGGGGCCAGCGCGACTTGACGAACTATCTCAGGAGAAAACCATACAGCACCATAGCCCTGCCAGACCACACACACATCCAGGCAGCACCA